TGATCGATTGCATTCAGGAACTAGAATAGTTTTTGTTCTTGACGTATTATGTTACATGTGGCGATATCTGCCTCTGAGGTCATTGGATTTGGTTCTCGCCGGTCGAACTCGCCCCATACTCCTTGCTTGGTACTCCAAAAATCTTCTAAAGGGACTCCATTTTGCTTTATACCATTTGCCCTTGAATGAAGATCAAAGGTTTGTAACTTGTCCCTGGCACTGCTGTATGTTGTAACAAGAGCATTCCATAGTGCTCTTGCTATGGGAAACTCGGTCAGATTGCTTGCTAATTGGGGTTCAATATTCAGAATTAGCCATGAGAACACAACGAGATCATCTTGTTCCCATTTTTCGTATTTCTCGTTTCCGATATGTGGTGGCGCTGGAATTCCAGTGAGGTGGCGTAACAAGGCCTTGGACTTTCCTCCAATTGCAACCTTAATCATGCGTGCCCATAACGCATAATTTTGGCTGTTCAATTTAACGCTGATGATTAAATTATCTTATTTAACGCGTGATTGATTAAATTATCTGAAAGGGTTTTGTTTTTTAGTTTTGGTTACTGAGGTCATTTCTGATAAGATTTGGCTAATTGAATGTCAGGTTCATCGTTTGCTTGAATGCCAAGACTGTTTTCTCCAAGCCTGCCGTCTTCAGACTTGGAGGCCGGAAGTCTTGTGGGTTGCAAGGCCTTGGACTTTCCTCCAATTGCAACCTTAATCATGCGTGCCCATAACGCATAATTTTGGCTGTTCAATTTAACGCTGATGATTAAATTATCTGAAAGGGTTTGTTTTTAGTTTTGGTTACTGAGGTCATTTCTGATAAGATTTGCTAATTGAATTGTCAGGTCATCGTTGCTGATGCCAGACTGTTTCTCCAAGCTGCCGTCTTCAGACTTGGAGGCCGGAGTCTTGTGGGTTGGTACACTGGTGGCTGACGAGGAGTTGCCGTCATCGGACATGGTGACTGGATTTCTGTCGGTAAGTTGGTAAATGATGAGCAATTGAAACTATTTGATCCTAAGATCACTGAACCTGCTTTGATACCATGTCAAATAATATGATTTGAGACATAGTTTGAAGGAATCGTATTGATTGATTATTCTATTGCTTTACACTGTTTAATATAGCTATGGTACAGGTCTATACAAGGAAAGAAATAAACGATAATTATTCTCCTCTTATAATTTTCCCTAATAATGTATACTGATTGGGAAATGATGGAAAATCCGATCCCACATTTTCCTCCTATTTCCTTTCTTGCTGACAAATTTAATACACTCATTAGAAACAAAAATGTTAGGGATTCATTTGGCATTATTGTTGCAAATAGTATATTTCCGATCACAATTGAGAGTAATTTTAATGGCTCAATAAATGTATCTATTTACATCATAATTTTTTATGAGCCAAAACTTATTTTTGCAAAAAATTTAGATTTCAAATTTTCCTAAATTCAGTTTTACACCCTTAATAAGGCGATCCCAAAAAATTATACTTAGTAATATTCATGTAAATTTATGTTAAGTTATAGAAAGAATAAGTTCAATATGGATATATGAAATAGTCTAACGAATTGTAATTAACTAAAATTACATAACGGTCGATCAAAAGTGAGAGAAGCAAGGCGATCTCCCCATACAGTAGGAGGAAAGTAGGCTAATGGACGAGTGTCTGTCTCGGATTTTGTTGATAAGCATGCTTTAATGGACGACTGTCGTTTAGCTTGCTACTAGGTTTGCCTGACAAGAATGGAGTACAGAAGATTTGTTTTGGGGAGTTTGCTTGAAAAACTGCAGGTTGGATTGCCATTTTTGAGAACTAAAGAGGACTACTGAAATGCAACTTTCAATGTCGGTTTGAACACAAAAGATCGTGGCCAATCTTTTATAGTTTTGAAAACTGCATGCTTCCATAATTTTAATCCTTTTCACAGATGCACATTATAAATGCTGCAATTTTTTTTTTATTTGAGTTTTATCACATCAAAAAGTGATGATTATATTTATGGTTAATTAAATAATTAGTATTCTATTTAATAAATTGAAAAGGGTGCAATATTTCTCACATGCTGATTACCAACTTTGTTCATTTTGTTATTTCATGATAACTTTGTCCACATAGTCAAACATTGTATTCTAGTGGAGGAGACCAACACACCAAGAACAACATCCATTAATCAAGAATTATATTTGTTTAAGGTGTTAGTATACTAACACAAACCTTGTCTTATAGTCCAGTTAGTATACTAACACGCAACTTTTCTTACAATTTGATCATAGATCCAACCTGCATGAGTAGTCCAAGAAATATCACCTGCAGCAGTCAATCATGCGTGGTTTGATTGGTCTTCTTACTAATGTGAGGAGTATGAAGTCTCGAGCTCAAGTCTTCTCAAGCACAAGAGTTTTCACCAATTCAGTGAGTTGAGGGAATAACTACTTTCTACTGTATAGGTCATCATGTTATTTCGCCACTTGGACCATCCAATATGAAAAGGTTATTTCAGCAGTGAGATTATTATTTGAACCAAATTTCTTGCTAATGAATAAGTTTTGATTTATACTCAATTAATTTGAATTTAAATTCTATTTACCGAATGTTAAATGATGGTTATTTTCTACCAAATGTTCAAAATAATTGCCATAAAGTAAAAATGTGCTTGAAAATTGAAAAAAAAAAAATGTATATAAATATAACTTTGCAACTCTCAATTTGATTCAGTCATCATCAGTTCTATTTGAAACATTCTTTCAAATTTCTAAAAGAAAAATAAATAAAAAAAAAATGCAGGGAACAGGTCGTTTGCGAGATAACAAGCTCCAGAAACTCCTGTGGATAGACTTGCGGCTTTAAGTTATTTATGAGACTTTCATGTAAAAAATTGTAAAAATATTATGATAAATGGAAAATTCAATCTATTTAAATAATATATTTTTCCCTCTCAGACAAACTCAAATTTTATTGAATAAAAATTCCATAATTAAAATTTAAATTTTAAGAGAAATCACTCTTTTGGTTTTCCGGTTAGGAACATATTTTGATTGTTTAGGATAAAAAAGAAAGTAAGTAATAAAAATCAATGGCAAAGAAAATATAAAATAATAAAAATATAAAAAAATAATATCAAATAATTTCATAAAATTAATGAAATATGAGGAATTTGTTGTCTTTAAAACAATATTATTTATGAAAATATGAAAGGAGCAATTTGAATATTACGATAGTATATAGTCTATAATATTATATATATATATTAAATCAATTAAATTTAGCTTTAGAGTAAAATTTTACGTTTAATTTTTAAAAAAAGAAAAATCATAAAGATTAACTGCATGTAGAGTGGTTGTTTAATCTTAAAAAAAGAAAAGACAAACTATTACAACAAAAAAAATATAACTGAAGAGAAAAATGAAGACTATAAAAATTAATGGCATATGTCTATTTAATCTGAAAAAAAGAAAAGCTATAAAAATAAAAATGGAAAAAAGAAAACCAAAATAATAATCTCTCCATCCCATTTTATTTGCTTGTTATTCATTTTCTGAATGTTCCATAATATTTGCAAAGTTTCTAAATCTAGATACGTATATAATTAGTTTCCCGTAATGACTTTTATGATTGTTCATTAAACGAAAGATTTTTATTAATATTTTAACGAGTTAAAGCTAAAAAATGGCAAAATAATTTTTATTGACTAAATTCTTAATATGCGTGTTTTGTCAAACTATTTAAATAAAAATGGAACGGAGAGAGTAAAAAAGTTGAAAAGGTGCATTCACAGGAATTGAATCCAGGCCAACCGGGAGGGGGGGTGGGCTCCTCTATTAATGAATAATAGCTTTAAGGATATTTGGTATTTTTAAGTTATAAATTGAATTTAACAAAAAAAAGGTAGAAATTAAAGTTGAACCCATTAAATGAATACCCATATAATTCAGGCGTTTCTAATTAAATTAACCCTAATTTATCATTATCCCATCTAATGTCAATAACTAAATTTTCATGTTGGACTTACCTTTTTACTTTCTGTTTTAATACATGTATCTCTTTACCTTCCACTTCAGCTTTCTTGCAAGTAAATATAAAGACAGATTTCACCCTTTTTTTAAAGCCACTTAATTTCACCCTCTAAATTTTATTTTATTCCATTTCCCGCACACCGAATGAGACCACACTATGATCAAAGCCAATTAGAGTTATGCTAAAGAATGGGCTAACATATTCCAAAAACAAAATTTAAAAGAAAAGAAAGACCGAAAGCAAGAACAATGTATCAACAAGGAGAATCCTCTTATTATAAAATTCATGGTTGAACTTTATAATTTTACTTTTTGACGGTTTGACCTTTGCGTATTATCTATCGTGTGCTTAAATTTATAAATTTGATAACATTACACACTTTTCGATACTAATATTAATAATTTTTAGGGTTTTTAGATTTTATCTGTGAAATATTGACTTGATATATAGTTAGCATGAGTTTTGGAACAATAATTTTAATAAATTTTAACTTTTTAATGAGTGTTTAATTAATTTAATTTTGCAAGTTAAGATGCTAAATAAAATAAATTTGAAAATTAAAGTGTTTAATAAGTGTAATTTTATAAATTGAAGTGTTTGATAGGTTAAACTAAAAATTAAAAATATCCCAAAATTAAAGTAACGAAATTTAGGGGTGAAATTATATGTTCCCTTTTTAACTTTTTCAAGTTTAACTTGGAAATATAGCGCTGTATGACTCATATGTGAAGATTTTGCAATTTTAAATTATATGGCAGTTTTCCTGTGATTTCAAATAAAGGAAAATACTTACTCACGCTTGCAAAATATAAAATACTTCTTGCATTATTTTTATTAAATAAAATAATGACACTTATTTCTAGTGTTTTAAAGAGTATAATATTGAGAGTTCCAAGGGATTTAAAGCACAAAATTAGAGTAGGCTACGTTCATGGAAACTATATTTAATTATTTTTTAAGGTAATTACATTGTTATAGAACAAGTATTATATCCCTTTTGACATACCCAAAAAAAATTTGTTATACAAATACTATATCTATAGCTAAATTGCAATTCTCTCAAAAAGTAGAGACTTCATGTGTTTTTGGAGGCTTGGAAGATTTTCATTATTATCAAAGCCACACATTAAAGGAGCCAATCTTGCACAATTAAGAGCAGCCTTATTGAAACATGGTGAAAAAGGGTTTGGCGAGAGACATTGCTTGTTCAGTTGCTTCCATTTATTTGAAATCATCTCCACAGTATGCATTTTAGCTTCTTGGACAGAAGAAAATGGATATTGCCTCATGTAGCATTTCATGTAAGATCCCGACCCCCCATTTCGATCCTCGTCCTATTTTAAATCCAAGAATGTATAGTTAATTATTAAGATATAAAAATAATCTTGAGATTTATTACAACAATGTAATCAATTATTATTACCTTGGTAATTTTTGGGCCACCAGAGAGACAAAAAATGGATGCTGCAGAAGATATGATTCCAGGATCATTATCAACAAGATTTATCGTTTTCATTGTTAAAGCTTCTCCCAGTAGAAAGAAGATGTGAACTAACACCACATTTACAGCTGATGTATCATTTGCAATCTTTAGATAGTATTCAGCCTTTGGCAGCTGCCCAACAGCCGCCCATTTGGCTGTTCCAAGAAATGCATTGCACAGTTTTATCCACTGTAGATTAAGCAAATTACTTACATTAGATGTCAGTTTCAATTTATATAAATGTACAAAATGAGTTGACTTAAAAATTTTTGAAAATAATCTTGTTGAGTACCGCATTCTGAAGTGAGCGTTTTGGGTTATATCCACACTCAGTATATATTTTATGAGCAATTTCATCGGTGATTTCGTAGAGAGCCCTTAAGCACATTATCATATATTCTGGTAAGTCTTTTGCAGCAGCAATATCCCATCTGTAGGCAATAATAATGATAATAAAGTTAATAGTTATGTAATTAGAGTCACACTCAAAATCTTATTTGGAGAAAAGTCAAAAATAATTTTGAAAGTGGGCTTACCTATTGACTGCTTGTACGAAAAGAGTGAGTTGATCAATGGAACCGTAAAAATAGAAGACATCTTGTATTAAATGGAAAAGCGAAACGACTTTAGCTAGCTCTACTCTTTGTGCTGATAAGTTTGGATCTGCAAGAGTTGCCAAAGGCCATGAGAGCCATTCAAGTGGTTCTTCCCTACCAAACTTCATCTCTGCTGCGAATCCAAACTTGTTTCTCCACCATCTTCAATTAAAATTTAGGTTCAACATTAGAAACAATGAAAACCAAACTAAATGTAGCTAATATTTATGAATTGAACTTACTTGGAAATATGAACAATTTCATCTCGATGAAAGGATTGAAACATGTTGAAATCTAACTTGGCAAGTTCCATGAATACATCTTCAGATTTGTTGCTGCCTAATTTTAAATTCTTTATAACCATTGATCTTGCTAAGTTCTTGTGGAATGGATTCTTCAATGTATTTAAAACAATTCCAGCTTGATAATCATCAAGATGCAATGTTGATGCAGAGAGAAGAGGGCCACTAAAAACTCGGGCTTCATCGAGAATGTCTTCTCCTTCTACGCTTAATTGAGATGCTTCATATAATTCCATTAATCCCTTGATGTCACAGGCTAATTCTTGCTTGAACTTTCCTTCCTTGTTCTTGAACTTTTTAAATACATCAGCAGGTACGCAGTAGCCTTGCTGTCTTAACAATCGAAAGCGAATGGCAACTTGAGAAAGATCATGTTTTTGATGGGTATAACCAGAAGATGTCTTCTTATAGTGATTTTCTAAAACTTCATTAATTTCATCTTGAAAATGGTATTCGATGCCAAGACGCTGGACTGAATCAATCATTTCTAAACTTTCAAGTGACAGATGATCATCATCTTCTTCTAATACTTTTCTGAATGCATTTTTAGCTTCCGTCAACTTCTTGAATCGTCTATTGCAAATGTTATCCTACAAGAAAAGAAAATATTAGAGTCATCTATAGGACTGAAAACCCTGTTATAACAAAAAGACAGCAGCTAATTAAATACCAAAATTTCATTTTCCAGAACTCTGCTTCTTGCTGCTTGAGCAGAACTTGGGATTGGCAGGCCATGATTGGAATTATTTGCACTAATTCTTGTGATTTTGTTTGAAAGAATAATTGGAGAACGGAAGATAGGGGAAAAAACTGGTTTTGAGAACGCCATATGGGTACTGTCTGAATTTGTAAAGATTGTTAAAACAATTGATTTGGGAATGGTTGATGTGTTATATATATCAATTAGCTGTGTATATTTCAATTTCTAAACAGTCACTATGACCATAATGGAAAGGAATGTGATAAACAACCCTATACATCAAGTGTTAAACTTACATGTTCACATGCAAAATCCCCTTATTTTATTCTTAGCTAACAGTACAATACTTGAATTTTTTTTTTTTGTTAGGTTCATTATTCATGCATTCCCTACACGTTTGAATTAATTTAAAATATATTACCAACTCATATATAATATTTCAGATCTCATGGTATGTCTTATTATTATTAATATAAAGTAAGGTTCTCTTTTCTCATGATTCCGATTAAAATTTTCCAGATTCAATGGCTTTAGCTGTAGTGGCTGCTTATTTCAACAAACCTATACTTCAATCTTTCTCACCTCTTCTTAGTTTGAGTGTGGGTTACAATATTATTTTTTTTTACGAAGAGGAGTTGTAATTACTTTTGAATTTGTATTCTCAATTAAAATTGGTTACCACTTCAATCAATATCCTATATTTGATATAACTGTAATAGTTTTTGGTATATGTGACGAGTCGATTTAATTGGATTTAATTTTTGGTTATATTAAATTCTTTTTGAACTGTATTAAAAAATGAAAAAAAAATTTATTTGTCAAAAAATAAAAGCATATATTAAGGAACATAATGTACTAATTACTTTCAAATGTCTTATAAAATTTAGATTGGTTGCTTCTTAGAACAGCAAAATTGAAACTTAACGATCAAATTTAATTTAAACTACTGGCAGCAGACATATTTGTGCAGCCAAATAGAATTCAAAGCATATCTCTTTGAAGTCACAACTATGAAATTAGTAATCAGTGGGGTCCCTGTGGGCAAGGAAAAGGACCAAAAGCTGTTGAGATTTAAAAAATAATAAGTAAATTTCAAAAGATGACCAACCTGAGAATTCTAGCATTGTAAGCTGGACAGAAAAATTTATTTTGCTAACTAATTAACAATGCCAAGTTGTAGGTTATCTACTAATTATTTTATTCTTAACTAATTATTCTTGCAAGTAATCTCTAGAAACAGAGTTCTAACGTTGACTAAGAATTCTTTCTCTGATTCAAAGATTTTGAATAGTTGGATGTTGAATATAAACAATAAAATTTGGCATTGGTGAAAAAACATTTAACACGTTGGATTGTTCTGTCTCATCTCTAGTACACATTAATTGTTTTTTGTTACGTTAAAAGAAACAAAAATAATTTTGCATATATTGGCTAAAAAAGGAGTTTGTGGCAGAGTGATTTTTTGGCTTATTTATGAAGAGTTTGTGTTTGATTTTATTTCAACTATTTATTCTTTTTATCTCGAGAAATAATAATACTTCTTAGCCATGAAGCAATAAATTTGATTAAGATTAAATACTTCTTAGCCACCCGAGACGGGAGATGGAATGACAGAGATCTTGAGCCTTAGATATGAAGTTCATTTAAACAATTTAGAGGGAGCGCTTTGTGCTTCTTTTTGTGGTCTGCCCAGCACGAATCCAAATTAAACGGGCCAATGGGCTTCATCGCGCTTTGTCCCCTTTGTAGGTTTGTCCGACATAAAATCTGGATTAAATGGACCAATGGACTTCGAATACCGGATGGGAAAATAAAAAAATAAAATAAAATAAAAACCTTTAGCCAATACTTTGACCAACAAATATAATTTTTGAAATAAACAAAAGTTCTTGTAAATTAGCATGTTTAATATAAATAGCCTGCTAATTATTTAATTAACAAAAAATTAATGATAAACGGAATACTAATTGTTTAACTAACCATCAATTGATTATGTAATACAACAGTCCAATAATTAAACAAGGCAGCATTGATCTTGTGCGTATATACCTAAATCATTAAATTATATAAATTTATTTCCAACTACATAAATTATTAAACAACAATGCTGATATTTTTTTTAACCACTCAAACAAATATCTAACTAGTATAATTTTAAAAATTAACAAATTTATTTTACAAATAAATTATTCAAAATGTATAATTTAATTAAAAATTAAAGATATTATTAGAATATTTTTTTTATAAAATTCCAAGATTTCAGACGTGATCAATCGAATAGTGTGATTTACATGTGCATGATGTATATGACACGTCACTAGCTCATGGTATGAGTCCGAACAGGATTCTTCATAAGTTTGCTTGTTGAATTGCTTCCATCAAAATTTCAGCTAGGATTAGGTGAAATGTCCATCATCCACTACAAAATTAATTCGAATTTTTTATTTTGTAGCTTGAATATATATTGTTTAATAAAATTTTAGCAAGTGGTTAATAGCAACAAAGAGATACTAGTAGGATAAATCAAATTTAAATTACAATTTATTTGTTCAACCAATAAAGTTAAAAGCATACGAAATCGCAACAAGTAATATAGAATTAGAAAATTATCATATCTACAGAGATTATATACTAAGTACCAAAATTATATTAACCTATTATTATTTAAACGGCGATTTAGGAAAATTATTTTGAGAAATTAATTTTAGTAAATAAAAGAGAATAAGAAGAAAACAAGGCAATTTTTGATTAAAAGAATCAAGGATTAAAAGCTGTTAGGGATTTTGACTTCACTTAATTCTTTTCAATTTATTTTATTAGTTCATTAATCAATTTTAATTGTTCAAGTAGGGAAAACAACCCTAAAATCACTGACAAACTCTCCAGATATACTGTTAGCTATTTTAACTCGGTTTAATTACCTATCTTCCAATAGCGCAATCAAACATGAATTAAATCATTAAGTTTTATGGTTTGTTTTGTGAATTCACAGATATACTGTTAGCTATTTAACCTCGTTAATTACCATTACCTATCTTCCAATAGCGCAATCAAACATGAATTAAATCATTAAGTTTTATGGTTTGTTTTGTGAATTCATAATCTAAGGTCATTAACTTATGAATACTCCCATGAGTCAAACCATATAGCTTCCGCATCAAGTTATTAGTTTGCATTGTTTAATGTCATCTCATGTCGCTTGGGAATATTACCTACCTTTGACAACGATCACAAAGACGAACAAAGTTAAAAACATCCTTAAATGAGTTAAGCCAATATAAATCGCTTTTTAAAATACGTGCTACCGTCTTGCTTGCTCCAAAGTGTCCTCCACATTCAATTGAATGACAGAATTAAAGGACACTTCATTTCCTCTTCCGGTATACATCATCGAAAAAGCTGGTCATCACTTTACAATACTTGAACAAAAAAGGCTCCTCCTAATAAGTTAATATTTAAGATCATGGAAAAAAAATTTTTCTTTTATTGGTAAGACGAGACTTGGAGGAGTAATTACTTGCAAACAAGGTTAGAACTATAGCGGCAAACCATGCGAACTTGCTGCTTTTAGCTAGAAGAAGAAAGATGCTCATGGGAGAATTCTTCATTGATTTGCCAAATTTCTGCTTGCTCTTCTTCCCCCAACTCACAAGCCTAGATAAGTGATCTTGCTACAAGGTTTTCGCGTTCTCTTTTATCACGGAATCTCTTAAATCAAAATTCCTTATAAAAAGGGGAAAAGGAACCCAACGAATTAAATTCTAGGCTTTACATCTTCTTTTCTAATAAATATTTAATAGCAAAGTGATCAGTGTACACTATTATTTTAGCCCTCCAATTCAAAATAAGTTCTAAATTTATCAAAAGCAAAAAACAATTGGCTAGAAAGCTCTTTTCAAGTGGTGCATAATTTCAATCTGCATCATTCAATGTGCCGACTAGCATAATAAATTTGGACATGCAATATTTTTTCCTTTGTGCGACTAGCATAATAAATGACATGCAATATTTTTTCCTTTCTTTGCCCAAGAACAGCTCCTATAACATGATCACTAGCATCACACATAAGTTCAAAAGGAAGACTCCTATCTGGTGTAGCAATGAAGGTGCTGAAGTCAACTCTTTCTTCAACCTATTAAAAGCATTCAAACACTCTTTGTCAAAATCAAAAGGAGCATCTTTAACTAATAAATTACAAAGAGGTTTCATGATTTTGGAGAAATCCTTGATAAATCTCCTGTAAAATTCTGCATGGCCAAGAAAGCTTCTTACTCCTTTTATTGAATTTGAAGGAGGTAGCTTTTCAATTACCTCTATTTTGGCTTTATCTACTTCAATCACTTTTTGTGAGATTTTATGCCCTAAACAATACCTTCACTAACCATAAAGTGGCATTTTTCCCAATTCAAAACAAGGTTAGTGTCCTCATATCGCTGCATTACTAAAGAGAGGTTATAAAAACAAGAATCAAAAGAAGAACCAAACACAGAAAAGTCATCCATAAATATTTCAATGAACTTTTCAACCAAGTCAGAAAATATAGACATCATGCACCTTTGAAAAGTTACAGGAGCATTGCACAACCTAAAAGGCATTCTTAAGCGAAAGTACTATAAGGGCAAGTGAAAGTGGTTTTCTCTTGATCCTCGGGAGCAATAGGTATTTGAAAATACCCTGAATACTCGGGAGCAATAGGTATTTGAAAATACCCTGAATAATCGTCTAAAAAGCAATAATAGGGATAACCTGCAAGTCTTTCAAGCATTTGATCAATAAAAGGTGAAGGGAATTGATCTTTGCATGTTGCTCTGTCCGATTTCCTATAATCAATACACACACGCCAACCTGTGATAGTTCTAGTGGGAATTAACTCATTACTTTTGTTAGAAATAAATGTCATACCTCCTTTGTTTGGGACAACTTGAATAGGACTTACCCAACTGCTATCGGAAATTGGATAGATAATGCCAGCATCCAAAAGTTTATGATCTTTGTTTTGACTACCTCTTTCATGTTTGGGTTTAATCTTCTTTGATGCTCAATTGAAGGTTTGTAGTCTTCTTCCATTAAGATCTTATGCATGAACACACTTTGACTTATTCCCTGTAAATCTGAAATTGACCATCTTAGGGCTTTCTTATGTTTTCGAAGGACCAGGACCTGCAACAACCTTTCCTCTTGATCAAGTGTTAAATGAGAAGAAATAATAATAGGAAAAGAATTATTCTCACCTAAGAATGCATGTTTTAAATGAAATGGAAGTTGTTTCAGTTCTTGCTTTGGTGATTCACTTTCTTTTTCATCTATGATGCTTGGATTATTAATGTCATTTTTGTCTTTGATATGCAAAGTGTCGTTAACACATTCACCAACAACATCATTCCTAAAACAGTCATTATAATCCATGGGAAGTTTACAGGATTTAAGAACATAAAAAATAACCTCCTTTTGACCTACCCTCAAGGTTAATTTACCTTCATACACATTAATGAATGCTCTTGCAGTTGCAAGAAAGGGCCTTCCAAGGATTAAGGAACCTTTACTATCTTCATCAATGTCAAGAATAACAAAATCAACAGGAAAGAAAGATAAAATTTATCTACCTTGACGAGCAGAATCTTCTACATTCCTCTTGGGAATTTTGGATTGATCGATCTGGCCAATCCTTGTTGGTTTTAAACTCTTCCCTTCCCTAACAGTCTTAAACTTCATAAGACATAAGATTAATGCCTACCACCTAAATTTGTTAATGCTTTTTTTCAAAATCAAGATTTCCAATATTAACAAAGGGATAGAAAAAACTTCCTAGATTCTTTTAATGTTTGGAGGGTAATTATTTTGAATAATTGCACTTACACTCTCTGTCCAATATTACCATTCCTTGATCATCAATCCTTCCTTTTTCTTACTCAGGATCTCTTTTAGAATTTTGCATAGTTGGGCATTTGAGCAAGAGCTTCAGCAAAAGGTTATTGCTTGATTGAAGCTATTTGAAGCTTTTTGAAGACATCAAGAAATTTGAGGAAACTTTTATCATCTTGTGTTTACTTTAATCTTTGTGGGAAAGGGACAGGTGGAACATAAGGTTTTACTTCCTGTTTCTCTTCTAGGTCAATGATGGGGATGTTTTTCTACTCTTCCTTCTTCTTCTCTGTCCTGGTTGGTTCCTCCAACTGTTTGCCTTTGCCACTCCTCAAGGTGATAGCTTATACCTATTCTTTAGGGTTTTTTTTCAGTATTAATAGGTAACGTACCTTGGGGTCGGGAGGCCATCATGTTTGCAAACAGCCCTAGTTGAATCTCCAAGTTCCTTCTTGTAGCTTGTTGGATTTTGTTTTTTCTCGGGTTTCATTAATGAAGTCCATGTGCGATTTAGAGAGGGCAGTAAGGAGATTATCAAGAGACTTTTTCTCTTGAGGTAAAAAAACCTGGTGGTGCATTCAAGGCATTGTTTGGATTCTCATATGAAAGAGTATAGTGATTCCTCAACTTATTATCATAAGAGTTAGAGCACGAGTAATTCTTCCTTTGTTGATTCATCATATAGTTCTTGCTCCAAAGTTTATGGATTTAAAGAATCTAACATGCATTCCCCAATGCCATGTTGTCCATCACACCTGTCACAAGCTTGCACAATAAAATTCACTGAGTTAGTAGTCAATAAGTCCAATTTCCTTTCCATATTGTCTACCTTGGCATTAAGTGCGATGATGGCATCAATCTCATAAACTCCTGCAGTCTTCTTCCTTTCAGAGTTGCTTTGATAATGGCTGTTGCTTGTCATCTCCTCTATCAAGTCATATGCCTCGTTAATTTCTTTTCTTTCAAAAGATCCACCTGCAGCTGCATCTAGAGTAATTTTAATGTTAGGAGAAAATGCATTATAAAAAGTTTGTACCTGTAACCATTTAGGCAAGCTGTGACGTGGGCACTTTCTCAATAAGTCCTTGAATCTCTCCCAAACTTCGTATAAACTCTCTTGGTCATGGTGGACAAAGGTCCTTATCTCGTTGCGTAGTTTTGTGGTCTTTGAAGATGGAAAGAATTTTGCTAAAAATTTTTGGGCTAATTCTTCTCATGTTGTAAAACTTCCAACATGGTATAATTGTAACCAGGATCGTGCTTTATCCCTAAGAGTTAAAGGAAAGAGTCTTAATTTTATGGCATCCTCAGAAACTCCATTTTATTTGAAAGTGTCACAAATCTCTACGAAATTTGTGATATGGGCAAATTTTATGGCATCCTCAGAAACTCCATTTTATTTGAAAGTGTCACAAATCTCTACGAAATTTGTGATATGGGCATTAGGATCTTCACTAGGTAAACCTCCATATTGAATTGAGATGGAAAGCATTTGGATAATCGCAAGTTTAATTTCAAAATTGTTAGCTTCCACCCTAGGTCTAGTGATACTCGAGGTTGTTCCATTGAGAGAAGGTATTGTGTAATCCCGCAAGGTGCGGACATGAGGTTGAGGTCCATCCTGAGGGTATCGTCCATGTTCGCATGCTATTCTGGTTTGTCCTCACGTGCTCTTCTAGCAACGTTGTTCCTACAACAAGTCTTTTCGATTTCTAGATCAAAGATCAAGGGTTCAATCCTACCTGATCTTCTTTGCATAAACACTTGAAAATTCTTCTTAGAAAAAATTAAATTAAATAAATAATAAACAAAAACAGATGTCTAAATTAATAATAGGGTAATTGACATTGATATTGGTAATGCCAATCCCCGGCAATGGCGCCAAAAACTTGACAGTGATTTTCGTAAGTAGACGAAATTGCAACAAGTAATATAGAATGAGAAGAGTATCGTATCCACAGGGATTGTACAAGTACCAAAATTATGTTAATCTATTATTATTAAACGGGCGATTTAGGGAAATTAATTTTGAGAAAATTAACTTCAGTAATAAAAAGAGAAAAAGATGAAACAAGGCATTTTTTATTAAAAGAATCAAGGATTAAAAGCTACTAGGGATTTTGGACTTTCAATTTTAATTCTTTCCAATTTATTTTATTAGTCATTAATCAATTTTAATTATTTAAGTAGGGGAAACAACCCTTAAAATCGACTAAACCAAGCTCTCCCAATGTATTTTAGAGCCTATTTTTAAACCGGCTTAATTACCTATCTTCCAATAATGAAATCAAAGCAATCAAATATGAATTAAATAATTAAGTTTTATGGTTTGTTTTGTCAATTCATAACCTAAGGTCATTAACTTATGAAAGCCCCCCATGAGTCAATCCATATAACTTCCGCATCAAGTTATTATTCTCATGTAATTTATTACCTTTTTCATATCAAAAACCCTTCTCCCGATAGTAATTAATGAAATAAATTACTCCAAGGAAGAAACTCGACCTAGAAGCATTAAGTTCAATAATACATTATACCTTGAACAAATAAAATCAAATCTAATATTATAAATTGGAACAGAAATTAAGCTACATCAAATCTCTAGTATGAGAGTTTAGTTCAACATAGTAATTAAATAAAACTCAATTGATAATGCTTGATAAAACTCCAATAACCAATCAGAATAATGAAAGAATAAATAAGTAATTAAGTTAAGAGTTTAGAGATAAAAACTAGTCAATAATTAATTCTGGATGGCTTCCTTGAATCTTGGCACAAATCTTGAACACTTGAAGTCTTGGAGAGAGAGAAAAATAATAGAACAAAAATTATCCAAACTGGAGATATCTCCTCTCTTTATATAGATTTCTTGGAGAAAATCTGACTTCATTTAGGAAATAGAGTCCTCATTAAGTAAAAAATCTTTTTGGAAGTAGGAAACTGTTTAGGTTTTGAATTTCTTCCTAATTAGGACTCTTCCATGCACCTAAATAGGATTAGAACTTGATTTGCATGTCAGGAAAATATCTCAAGTGGACCCATGTAAGTGATAGGGATTAGTTGGTGTTCGTAACTCAAAACAACACTTGATTCACAGCACGAGGGTGCTGGAACCTGAGTTCTAAGTAAGGTTTAGCACGAGTCGTGCTCAAGGGCATGCCTAGATAAGGATTTGTGGCACGGGCGTACCACATAGCACGGCTAGGGTGTGCTAGGCTCTGAGTCTCCAAGATGAGATGCAGCACGGGCCGTGCTTAAGCAAGCACACCTTTGGGTTGATGTCCTCTTTTGGCACAGGCGTGCCATATAACACGGCTTAGGCGTGCTAGAGTCTGAGTCTCTACATGATTTTCCTTGAATCCAACATGGGCAGAGCGTGCTAGAGCCTAAGTGTTTTGCTTTATTTTGCTCTTTTCTGTGCCAAAACCCTACAAATTTCCTTAAGATCAAGTGAATTATGATTCCTTAAGATCAAAGTGAATTATGATTCAAGGAAAACCTTTGAACAAAAACAGAGATAAAACTAATCAAAAAATTCTTAAAGTAAATAAAAGAAATATCTAAAAAAGATCCAATAAAACTATATTAAAAAATACTATAAAAATAACAACTATCAAAATATTATATTTTTATCTTATTATATATATATATATATATATATATAATATATTATATATATAATTTAAAATTTTATCCAATAGAATTTAAATGTAATTTAAATTTTATCCAATAGAATTTAAATGTAAATAAAAAATTAATATTTTCAATCAAATTTAAATTATCTTTATTTATTCAACCAATAAAATTAAAATCCTTAATCACATTATATCCTTATCATACTTATTATATACCTTATCATATAATATAATTTTTTAATTTATCAAATATAATTTAGATTTAAATATTATCTTTAATTTTTCAACTGATAAAATTAAAATTCTTAATGATATTTTTATCAATTTATAAATTTAATAAGGGTGTTTTTGGCAATCTCAATGTTTCCTTTCTATTTTGGTACTTTGTATATTATATATTATAGATATTTAATTATTACTTATTATATTTAAAAAATTATAATTTGAAGAGTAATTAGTTTTATAAAATCAATAGAATTCAAGTATAATATAAATATAAATCATGCAGTAATTAATAAAGCAATTGATGAAATTTCTATTAACTCAACGAAAACTTCCCTTGATATTCTCATTGTTGTTAAATTATATTAATGGCCTGTATGATGTTAAATCAACTCCAACTATCCTTTTTTTTCTTAGTCAATTGATGATTAATTAATTAAGGAGCATGTGTCAAAAAAAAAAAATTAATTCGGAACATAAAAGTACTAATGTTCACTAATATTTAACTGCTTGGCTAACTCCATCGTAAAGCTGACACATTAGCAAATACAACATAATGTTAAAAATAAAATAATTTTCTTTTTAAAAAAAAAAAGCATGTGAGGAATTTAGTAAATAACTATTAAATAGAATACAAAATTAAATAATTTAGTAAATTATTATCGAATTAATCATCAATTCAGCATGTAACCGCACTTGGGGAAAAAAAAAATGGCAGCATTTTTAATGGGTATGTGTGAAAAAGGATTAAGTTACACATTATATTATTATATATATATATAAATGAAACCGGAAATCCCTGTGAAAACTGTAATTTTAGCTTCTTTACCTATTCTGCCCTTTTCTATTTTCTATTATGATTTGATATATTTAGCCCTTTTTTTTATTTAAGCTGCTTAATTGTATAGTTGGTATAGTTGCAGTCAGGGGTGAAGCCAATTGTGACAATTATTTTAGGGGAGCTAAAAAAATTATATATATTAGGCTAACTATTATTGTTATTTAATTATGTTGATTAATTATTGTCACGACCTGAAACCATGGACTGGACAGGCATTAGGGCTCAGATAAGTATAAGGCCCTTGAGATCCATGGTAAGCTTGAACCACTAAATTCAACCATATTAATATGACTTTCAAAACAGTCAGCCCATATTGCTATACATAATAAGTCTCATAGTTACATTGTAATCTAGCCAAATCTAGAATCTCAAATATTCATAGCTTAGCCTAATTATAATACAAAACATCTATAATATGGGCTAACTGGTTCATGCATTCACATAACATCCACCTAAGTTTACCGGTTATAAATCTATAATTACATATTCATTAACAGATAGATATAAATAAGTTCTTATATATATAGCTACATAATTTAAATAACTGCCGACACTAAACGTTACGTTTCTAGCTCTGCGGTGAAGGAAACAGAGCTTTACCCAGAACAGTCAGAAATCTACTTTTTGGAAAAATTAAATAAAAGAGTGGTTTTATAATGAATAATAATTAATGCATCACATAGGCATTCACATGAAATGCTTTCTAAAATACTAAAATGAACACAATCAATCAAACATATGGGAAAACATCAGCACCTACAAATAATCACACTTTCTAATAATCAAACAAGTGGAAATTAGTCAGTGGCGTCATTGAAACCCCCAATGATTGTCTTTACACATGGCCAACCCTCTCAAATGTGTACACCAGGTAGTCGATCCTCATACATGGCCGACTAGTCTAATCCTCACTTGATCAGCCCTCTTATATATTTTTTTTTCATCCTCTCTTTTTTTTTTCCATTACCAACAGGAGGCCACCTTGTGGTTTTCTATAAAATCCATATCACCAGATGCACACGGGGGCACCGATCTCCCTATACTCTATAAAATCCATATCACCAGATGCCACAAGGGGGCACCGATCTCCTAGTACATACTGTGGTATCAAAAGCTGCCTTCACAAACCCAATGGTGCCCACTTCAATCGCATTCTACTGCAAAACAAGGCAATCAACAAACCCATGGTGCCCACTTCATCGCAATTCTACGCAAACAAGGCAAATCAACGTCACAATACAAATAATCCAACAATGCAATTAAAAGCAAGCATATTAAATAATTAAACATTATCATGCAAAAGCGCAAATAGACATTCATATAATTTAAATAAATATAAAAATATTAAATAATAATATAACATAATAATTGATACTTGAAGAATGAATAAATAAAGAAAAAACTTTGTATAGTAATGATTTTATGTATGATGCAAATGGTAAATACTATCTATTATTATTTACCATGCTAGATGGGAAAAGACTCAAATTTTGGATTCAACTTGTTGAAGTAGTGAGCAAATTAGAGCAATCTGAACCAAATGGAATTCGAAAGAGGGAAAGAATTAAATTAAACAAAGAACTTTATTTTAAATATATCAAGTTAAAAGAACTATTCTAAATAAATCTATTAACTTAATTATTAAATATAACTAGCTTAGATTTTCTTGAAATTTTAGCAGCACTCCCCTAAAAATAGGACTATTTACCTATTTAAATAATCACAGTATCATTAAATATTCTTCAATCAATATACATAATTCATCCATCGGGCAATCAATCAAATCAAATACCCATCCTCCTTCCAATAGCAATATCAACATTCAATCATATTCCAATAACACTATTAATCATTCTTTACTTCCCATTATAGTTAATAAGTTTGTTTATACATAAATGCACACCAGCTATATATATATATATATAATGATAATTCATAACTCAGCTATCATTTCGATCTAAAATCGGTATTCCTAATTATAACCTATTGTAAGTGGCTAATTTGCTTACATTCAATCAGAACTCGCACTTTACTTCATTTGTCATCTCTATTTATTAAAGTTTATCATCATAATTCTTATTAAATTGATTATTAATTAAAGATTAAATTCATAACATTATGGAAGCTCTATTTTTTCCAAATTTATGGAATTTGGTCTAACTTGCTGCTACCGATTCAGCAAATAACTCTATTTATAGGCTAAAAACTATCCTAAACGCAATTATCATTTCCCACCAAGACACGGGTCTGCCATCAATTCTCATCTTAATATTTCAAAAACTCATAAAAGAATAAGCAATATGGTTGCTGCCATTTTAAGATCTCTCGCATATATAATCAAACTTATTCATTTCCATGTAATTTATTTAGTTCCATGACATAACAGATATGCAACTTCGTATTCTATCTCATTATAAAAAAATACAAAAATAGATGATAGTTTGCTGCCATATGGAAGAAAATTAGAGTTGTTTGTTTAAAATCCATAGTTTATATGCTATCTTACCGATTTTCTATTAAGAATTTGATACAAGATAACACTTCCTTCATATCATATAAAATAAAAAAAACTCAAGCAAATCACCATCTAACTGCTGCCATCTTATGGGTTACCGATTCCTTTACCAAATTTCATAATTAACCTTCTAAACTACTCATTATCCTCTAGCAAACTTAGTTTATAACTTCAATTTTTAGCTTAGTTCAATAGATTTAGGGATTTTTTCGGTTTAGAAGTTTTGGTTTAGCAGTATAAAATGCATTTACATTAAATTTTATTAAATAAAATCATAAGGTATTAGTTTATTTATTTTAAATAAATTAATGCTCTACAATATTATTTGTTTAAAATTGATATATAAATTTAAAAAGAATAATTTTTGAAAATAAAATTCCTAGTTCTTTCAATTATAGACGTAACCACATTTATTCACAAAAAGTTTTCAGTTCATGAATAAAAAGAAGTTATTTAGGTTGCATTTTTTTTATTTCAATCAATCAAAACATTTGAGCTTTTAAACCTATTTATTCACCTGGGAATATTTTTAGAGCAATACAATATTTTTTTTAAGCAATTCATCCAATGAAACAATCATATTTAGCTCTTAATTTAAAATTTATAGTCCCTCAAATGTGTTTTTAGATTAAATCAAGAATATACATAATTTAGATTATTAGTTATTAAAATAGTTCACTTTATTGTTTTTATTTTTGTTTTAAAAATAATAGTTACTATTAATATTTGAATTTTCTTATTGCAATTATTTAATATTTCAAATAAAATATAAATATCACATATTCACGTGATGCCCGAGTCATCATGTAGTTAATATTTAATCGATAACATGAGCCCACCATCCACATAAAATATAAATATCACATATTCACGTGATGCCCGAGTCATCATGTAGTTAATATTTAATCGATAACATGAGCCCACCATCCACAATATATGCAATACAAGGTTTTAAATAAGAAAGGAAATCCAATAAAAAAAACATAAGAAACGAAAATTCCGGAAACACATGTCCATTCAACTTCCACATATTTATTGTCGCCTGTCGTTTGGGTCAACAAAGTTAAGCTTTCACTAACTTCAACTAAATCTCTAAAATGACCTGACAACTACATTCAAGAAAGTTCAGCTAAGAGTTTGATTTAAAGAGGCCCTATTTTTCGAGAAATATACTTCCTATAAAATACACTTGTTCTAGAACTATAATCAGAGTTTACTTCATTAAATATTTAAAAATAACAACTTTATTTTTTATATTTAATTTTCTCAATTACTTTTTTATAAAAAATTAAAATTCAAGTACTGTTTAGACAGGATTTAAAAAAAATAAACGAAACGATATATGTATGGAAGACTTTATTCATAAAGAGATTTAGCTTGCTACTATAAAGATAATATAAAAATAAAAATTATATTCAAATATATAATTTTTTTAACCTAAATATCTTCAACAATACCAAATATAATTATAATAAAATTTGTCACAAATGGAAAAAAAATATGCTATATAAAATTATAACATTTGTCATGTGTTGCTTCTTTTTTTTTTTCATAAGTTGGAATTAAAATGATGAGAACAATAAAAGTAGCTCTACTATTTTCAATGAACTCCCCTATCTTTTAACAACATAATTACAATTTTTTTCCCCTTTTTAGCGACATTTGCACAAAATTTCATCAAAAAAATTTCTTAATGTAAACTCTCTTTTCTATATCGTTATTCTCTGGAACCATCTGGAAATCTAAAGCTCAATCGCCCGATTTAATTCGAATTCGAGCCAAAAAAAGTCTACAAAAATAAATAAAACATTTACTTCTGAGATTCAAAATTATTCCATATATACCCAAATTTTAAATATAAAAACTCTACTTAAAAGAGAAAAGATATTTTATCATCCCATCTCATCAACAGGGATTTCTATACATATCCATTTTGATGTACCCTAAAAATAAAAATTGTTATAGAACGAATATCCAAATCTTATATAAGAGGATAGCTAAATTGCAATTCTCTCAAAAAGTAGAGACTTCATGCTCTTCTGGAGGCTTGGGAGATTGTGATTGTTATCAAAGCCATAAACTAATGGAGCTAATCTTGCACAATTAAGAGCAGCCCTAGTGAAAGATGGTGAAAATGGATTTGGAGAAAGACATTGCTTGTTGAGCCGTTTCCATGAGTCTGAAATCATCTCCATAGAATGCAATTTAGAATCTTCGACAGAAGACAGAGGGTATTCCCTCATATAGCATTTCATGTAAGATCCGAACCCGCCATTGCGATCCTCATCCTATTTTAAATCCAAGAACGCAAAATTAATTATTAAGATCTACAAATAATCAAAGCACACTTTTGCGATTTATTACAAGTAGTTGGTTATTTACCTTGGTAGTTTTTAAGCTTTCCGAGAGAGTAAAAATGGAAGCCGCAGAAGATATAATGTCAGGATCATTATCAACAAGATTTATCGTTTTTGTAGTTAAAGCTTCTCCCAGTAGAAAGAAAATGTGAAGAAACACCACATTTACAGCTGATGTACGATTTGCCATCTTTAGATAGTGTTCAGCCTTTGGCAGCTGCCCAACCGCCGCCCATTTCGCTGCTCCAAGAAATGCATTGCACAGTTTTGTCCACTGTAGATTGAGCAAATTT